CATATTCTGTTACACCAAATACACAAAATAATGATCTTTAAAAAAGCATCATATGACCCCTTTAAATTATGTTTTGATATAGTGTTACTTACTTTTACATTTAGTCATTTAGCAGACGCTTTTATCCAAAGCGACTTACAAATAAGAAAAAGTAATTAAAACTAAAAGCTAAAACTCTATATATACTATATATATATAATTAAATTAAATAAAAATAACAAATGCATACAACAACATTTCAAAACTAAAACATTTAAATGAAAACAAAAAAAATAAAGCTAAAAACTATTCAAAATATTAAAAGTTAATTTAAAAATTATTAATTTAAAAATAATAATGATTCTAACATAACACTAAGCCAAACACCAAAAAACAACTACATATGTGTATGTACAGCCACACACATATACATGTACATATATATAAATACATTCAATATATATATATATTTCATTTCCATTTTGTATGTTGAAGTACTGAAATAACTCAAAATACATAAAAGTAAAACTTAATAAAAAGCCTATATAGACATAATAAAAAAAAAAAAAAAAAATGTTTTGTCTTGCCTTCATTTTGTTTTCACACTCTTTTTTTTCTAGACTGACCACTATTGATGAATCAGCCTCTATCTTGTCAGACATCAGTTATGATAAAACGGATGATTCTTTGGTATGCCATTTCCTTTTATGTTAAAAACATTAATCATAAATGTATTTCTGTCTCAAACCTGACGGGGAGAAAGTGAAACATTTTAAAGAAATTGACTTTAACATTTACATTTTGTTAGACTAGCTCATCTTTTATTGATTGGAGTTTTGTTGTTGCAGTAATTTATTTTTAAATGAACTTTTCTTTGAATAAAGGACTGGGACTCTTCTGCAATCAGGACTGTTCGTCTCAAGAAACGGCAAAAGAGAGTAAGCTTCCCAACAAAGATGTAATTAATAAAATTTCTTCCAAATTTCAATCAATATCTGATCATTCAATCTGTCTCAATGCAGCGCTCCTCCCGAAACCACACAGATGGTCCCCCTGCCGCTGCCAAGAGGTCCCGTTCCACTGGCCGCACCTCTGAGAAAGTAAGAGAGGGTTACATAAGCATAAGACTGACTGTTTAAATTGGGAAAAGACTCTTCAGTTTAAAGGCTCCCTGTAGGGCTTTGCTTTAGTCAGTACGAGTAAAATGTTTCCACCAGTCCCTACAACCCATAGGAGTGTGAATATTGGAAGGTTTTGTCTTCTTTTGACATTGTGAGAGCCAACAAGCTATTCCCTGGTTGTTTTTGATGTTGGAATGCTGCTATTGTCCAGTTAATACCACCATATTTTAGTTGAATGTGTAGTCAGTTAGAAATTGTTTGACAGTTCATTCAAGTCACGTTTTATCAGGGTAATGAGTCTCTGGTGGCTAAGACCACCGTGACTGTGCCCACTAATGGCGGACCCATTGAAGCTGTCACCACAGTGGAGGCTGTTCCTTACTGGACCCGGAGCCGCCGAAAAACTGGTAAGCTCACTTCCTTAAATTGAATATTGTCATTCATGAGGGCGCACATTTCAGAGCAAGAGAATATTTGCATGAGTCATTGATTATGCGATTTTCTTATTGACTGAATAATAATGTGCAGGCTGCTGCTGTATTATAAATAAGCTCCGCAGTGAGTCATGATATGTGGTTTCAGTATCATAAATGTGTTTTTATCGAACGGTCAAAGATACATTTTTAAAATAATTTAGTACATAGTTTGTAGGACTCTGGGGTGTTTTAAATTGACCCCCCTTGTTGAGTCTCCAGCATAGTACTCTTTATATTTGTTTTTTTGTTTGTGTTTTGTATGGGATGTTCTTCCTGATCATTTCTCACACCCTGAGCCTTTGCATTTCTGTTTAAGTATTCTGCAGTAGTGAGTGAGTGAGCAGTGCATCTCTCTGCTTTGTTCTTCAGCTGCTCTGGAGTGGGACACTGCTGACACAGACTCTGTTCAGTCTATGGATGTGTTCAAGCAGCCCAGTCAACCCAATGGAGAGACCAAGGCAGGGCCCAGCACTCCCCAGGGCAACGGAGGTGTCCGTCTGCATGAATTTGTCTCCAAAACGGTATGATGCGGTGTTGCATATAAAATCTCTGAATTCAGTGCACTTCTCCAGTCGCATTGCTCTTGAGTCCCAACCAGAGAGTTAATTTCTCCTAGTTTTTGCAGTTATACAATTGTTAGTTCTATTTTTATAATTTGATTGCATAAGTCAGAACTTTTCAAAATTGGGTTCATGCGGGGAAACACGGTTGATGTAAAGCTAATAAATAAATGTGAAATTTAAAATTAAGACATTTAAACACTAAAGATATTTGAGTATTTTATGAATATTCACAAATATTTGATTTGTTTGCCTGCATGTGACCATTAACCAACATTAGTGAACTGTTAAATGATTAAATCTCTTAAATCTAAAATCTCTTCTTTAAAGTCACAATGAAATGGAAGTAGTGACAGATCTTTCTTCAGTATTGTATCTACTTAAAAGAACATGTAGGGAGTGACTTCTGTGCACTGGTTGTTGAATAGATTTTGAGATGTGGGCATTTACACTCAAAAGCAGAGGTAGATGAACGCGAGCTTGATGGATTGTGGATTAAATAATCGGAGAAGACTTGCATATGTCACCAGAGTCTGTTTTTAACACCCAAAGGTCCAGTTATGACATTTTGATTTAAACATTGCAAGGTAAAAACGGAAAGACAGAAAAAAAATTTGAATGGTTGACAATAAGTTCTGTAACATTTAATGTGAATTTCATGACTTTAAGTAAATATTTTTGGTCACAGTGGTTCAACTGACAAAAAAGTTTGGGAATTCCTTGGTTAAGCGATGAGTGCTAGTATAACAGTACTAGGGATGTAACGATTACCGGTTTGACGATAAATCATGATAAAATTCCCCACGGTTAGTATTACCGTTTCTTTTAATTATCATTAAAACTGTATTAGATTACCACGATTTGAACAACTCGCGATAAATAAATACTGTCCAGCATAAAGCACAGTTTTAAGTAACAGTTCTCGCGAGCATAGTTTCGTTTTGAGTGAAAACAGGGCGGAAAAGCTGGGAGGTTTTAAAAGAATGCTAAGGGAATTATACATATGAATATATGAATGAATTAATTATATGAATGTACCTCTGAAGGTTCTGACTGTCTTCAGAAACTATTCGATGGCATTTTGTTTTCATCTTCGCTCCATGTAATACCTAAACGAAGTGTTCTTAATCGCAATACTGCTTTGTCCACGGAGGTTACGGGAAACAGCTCTAATTCTGCTTTTCCATAAGCGCCACCTGCTGTCAGCGAGCGGATTTACAGAGACTTATATTTTACATTCAGCCTGTGTGCAGTTTCTGTCTGGCCAAAAACGGACCGAAGTTGCATGCCCTGCTGTAAATTTTGACCGGTTGATGAAAAACAAGCTTATGTTGGTTCTACACATTTAAACAATTCAGATAAGTTATCTAGAATTATTTATGGAGCAGATAAAATGTATTAATCAATTATCATTTTGACTTGTGTCTTTTCTTTATTTAAAGGCTGAAATGTGAGGTTTATCTTTTTATTAAACTTTTTCAAATCTTTATTTGAACATTTACATTAGATATTTCAACATGCTATTAAACTGTTGTCAGTCAAGTTGTCATTTAAAATCCGAACATCATTGGTAATGTTGTTGTTTTAGTGATTATGCAAACACAGTCATTTTTTTGTTGATTTTTAAATATAAAACTTGAAGTGATTTCAGCACATTTTAACAATACCGTGATAATACTGATAACCGTGACAATTTTGGTCACTATAACCGTGATAAGAAATGTTCATACGGTTACATCCCTAAACCGTAACATTCATTGTTCACGGTAATTCTATGGTTTGCAACGTTGTACCTATTTCAGTTATAGCAAAAAGATAAAAAAGCAAAATAGTAGTCCATATTATGTCTCAAATGTCCACACCAAGTAAAGTTTTCAAAGCATGTAAAACTGACACAAAACTATACCACTCCAATTATAATCAATGAAGTTATCTGCACAGGTTTGTGTTTATAGCCCTCACAGCTCATATCTGCCTGGCCCTTGTGGTTTTTCCTAGGTGATCAAGCCAGAGTCTTGTGTGCCATGTGGTAAGAGGATCAAATTTGGGAAGATCTCTCTGAAGTGCAGGGACTGCCGTGTGGTGGCCCACCCTGAGTGCCGTGAGCGCTGCCCTCTGCCCTGCATTCCAAACATGACTGGGACTCCAGTGAAATTCGAGGAGGTGACAAATCTTTATGAAGCTTTTTCAACAAGCTTGAGTATTTCCGCCTCTGTTTTACTGATTTTTTTCATTCAAATAAGAGGCTGCATTGAACTCTTAATTTCTTTAAACATATATACCTTATTCACTGATTGCTTCTGGTGTGATTTTCAATAGGGCATCCTAGCAAATTATGTGTCCACCTCCTCTCCCATGATTCCTTCGCTAGTAGTGCACTGTGTTAATGAGATTGAGCAGAGAGGCCTACATGAGGTAAGTCGATAAAGAGGCAGAATTCTTGAATTCTAAACAAGACCAGTATGGTCTGAAAACCTGCATATTCCTTTGATAGACCGGTCTGTATCGGGTGTCTGGCTCTGATCGAGTGGTCAAGGACCTGAAAGAGAAGTTCCTGCGTGGGAAGACTGTTCCCTTGCTCAGCAAGGTGGACGATATCCATGCCATCACTGGCCTCCTCAAGGACTTCCTGAGGAACCTCAAAGAACCCCTGCTGACCTTCCGCCTCAATCGTGCCTTCATGGATGCTGCTGGTTAGTGTTGATGAATGTACACCGCTGTTCAAAAGTTTGGGGTTTGTAAAATTTATTTTTGAGGTTTTTGCAAGACCTCTCTTATACTCACCAAGGCTGTTTTATTAGAACATTACAGTAAAGCAATATTGTGAAATTATTTTATGTAATGTAATTTTTTCCTGTGGTGGCAAAGCTGAATTTTCAGAATCATTTCTCCCGTCTTCAGTGTCACATGATCCTTCAGAAATCATTCTAATATGCTAATTTGGTGTTCTAGACAATATTATTAATGTTTAAAACCGTAGTGCTGCTTAAATGTATTTTATTTTTTTGTGGAAACCATGATACATTGACATGGGATTCTTTAAATTGAGAGTTGAAAAGAACAGCATTTATTTGAAATAGTAGTCTTTTGTAACATTATGAATGTCAATTTTTGCGCTTCTGTTTTTTTTTAGTTATATATAATAACAGAACATATCAGTGCATTCAATAGTAACTATTCAGTCTTTTCTCATAGAGCTCTCCGATGAAGACAACAGCGTCGCCTTGATGTATCAGAACATCAGTGATCTTCCACAGCCCAACAGAGACACTCTGGCCTTCCTCATCATCCATTTGCAGAGGTAAACAGCACACATGGTCTCTGATTCTACTGTCTGCTTTATAGCTGGTGCCGCTTGCTAATATGTTATGTTTCTTACCAGATAACACTTACATTTGTGACATTTAAAAGAGTGTTCCAGGTTTAATGCAACTTTGTTAAACATCAGTTCCTTAAGGGGTTGTTGTACTGGAGGGTATAAGAGCCTAAATGTTTATTTTTAAGCATTACCAAAAACTTTGCTTTAAGTATGATGGTTATACTCTTGAAATGGTGTTAAATTTGCATATTTTTAATTTATCTGTGGTGCTGTAAATTCCCTGTAGACATCCGCATCTTATCAACAGTTAAACTTAACCTGTATTTGACCATGGGATTATTTCTACAACAAACAAAATGTCAATAATATTATGGTTGCAAAATTGGTACTGGATATGTATGCCATCAATCTTGTTAACAATCTTGTTTTTTTTCTTTCCTCAATGTTTTCTATTTCCCCCTTTTTAACAGCAAATTATATGCAATATAGCATGAGGAGCTAATAAAGAACTATCTTGCAGACCATTTACTGATCAATAAAAGTGATTGTATGGGTTGATGTATTCATTTCCATCATCTTCAGGGTGGCCCAGAGCAAAGATACAAAGATGGACATAACCAATCTGGCTCGTGTATTTGGGCCCACAATTGTGGGTCATACCGTGCCTGACCCAGATCCAATGACCATTCTGCAGGACACAAAACGGCAGCCAAAAGTAAGTGATCTTACTTGGGGTCTGGGGTCTGCAAAAGTGTACCTTTTTACTTTTTCACCAAGAGTTTTTCACCAAGCTCTTTCTCTCTCAGGTGGTTGAGCGTCTCCTGGGTCTGCCTGTGGAGTACTGGAGTCAATTTATGATCAGCAACAATAACCAGACTCACAATGATAACATGATCATTGAGAACGCCAATGTCCACGCAACTCCTGATCAGAAAAGTATGAATTTCACAGACAATCACTTTCAACTCTGTTGCTTTTCAATTTGGGTGGTGTGATTATTTTGTAAGACTTGTGCTGTTTGTCAAATACATTCATTTATTGCAAGTCCTTTGTGTCTGTCTTTTAACGCATCGCATTGGGATTTAGAGTTGGACTGTGACATAAATGTTCGCATTTAAAATACAATACAAAATCACTGAGGCACAAAGTGTGCCAGAATATGAGACCGGGTAGTTGAATTAATTGAAAGAGAAGTATTGATAGATTTCTTTGAAGAATTTCCTTGTGGGTTACAACTGCAAAGTAACTAGGTGTACTGAAAATGTTATAATGAAGAAACTAGGAATGAGGACATCTATATTGTTTTCTTAAGAAATAGTTCACTCAAAAATGGAAGATTGTGGAGATTTAGCATATTACTTGTTCATCAATGAATTAGTGAATGGGTGCCGTCAGAACTAAAGTCTAAACGGCTGATAAAAACACAATAGTCCAGACTGTCAATAAATGTAAAGTCGAAAAGCTGTTTGTACTAAACAAAATCAAGACATTTTTAACTTCAAACCATTGCTTTTGGCTAAAATATGAGTCCTCCTCAATACATAATAATGCTTTCGGGTGGTGTGATTATTTTGTAAGACTTGTGCTGTTTGTCAAATACATTCATTTATTGCAAGTCCTTTGTGTCTGTCTTTTAACGCATCGCATTGGGATTTAGAGTTGGACTGTGACGTAAATGTTCGCATTTAAAATACAATACAAAATCACTGAGGCACAAAGTGTGCCAGAATATGAGACCGGGTAGTTGAATTAATTGAAAGAGAAGTATTGATAGATTTCTTTGAAGAATTTCCTTGTGGGTTACAACTGCAAAGTAACTAGGTGTACTGAAAATGTTATAATGAAGAAACTAGATCCAGGAATGAGGACATCTATATTGTTTTCTTAAGAAATAGTTCACTCAAAAATGGAAGATTGTGGAGATTTAGCATATTACTTGTTCATCAATGAATTAGTGAATGGGTGCCGTCAGAACTAAAGTCTAAACGGCTGATAAAAACACAATAGTCCAGACCATCAATAAATGTAAAGTCGAAAAGCTGTTTGTACTAAACAAAATAAAGAAATTTTTAACTTCAAACTATTGCTTTTGGCTAAAATATGAGTCCTCCTCAATACATACTATTGCTTTTTCCAGTGAAAAAGTAATTTTATCTGAATCAGAAGTGAAATATGTAAAGATCAAGCACTGTTCTAAGTTGATATTTCTAAACATGTTGGTGGATTTTGATGCGAGGACAACAAGGGATTGACTTTTTCACTGGAGGAAGCTTTATTATAGATTGTAGCCAGAAGTGTCTGATTTAAAGTTAAAAGGCCTTAATTATGGATTAGTTTTTTTACACAAACAGCTTTTTGCTTCAAAAGACATTCATTGATGGAATGGAGTCATGTTGTGGATTATTGTGTTTTTATCAGCTATTTGAACACTCAATCTGACGGCACCCATTCATTGCAGAGGATCCATTGATTTGCAAGTGATAAATTTCTCCAAATCTTTTCAATAGAAACAAACTCTTCTACATCTCAGGATGGCCTGAGGGTGAGTCAATTTAAATTTTTTGGTGAACTATTCCTTTAACTACTCACACTATTGTGTCTGTATTTCCAGACATTCACAAGAGCTCTCAATGTTCATTAGTAAGCATGAGCAATTACTGCAAATTTCTGTAAATATGCTTTATTCTCCTTTAAATTTGGGGAAGGGCCATAGGAGTGGAGTGTTCTTGATGTAGTTCTGGTAAGCAGGGTCTGATCCCCACTTCTTCATAGTTTGTTTCTCAAGGATGGGGATCCCACTAACGTGTCTCAGTAAAAACCAGACAAAGAGAGGAGAAACCACAGTGAGATATTGAGGACCACGCATGACGGAGGAAGCGGACAGGAACAGGCCTGACCACTGCAGGATCTCCCCCAGATAGTTTGGGTGTCTGCTGTATGCCCACAGTCCATGATGAATAAATTTTCCCTGCGAATACAAGTAGGCTTACATTATTTGTCTTAACATTAATTAAAATGTCGTATGCAAAGTAATAAGCACTCAGGATTTCTTGAAGCTAAATTCTAAATCTTTAATTAAAGGTGAACAGTGTAATTTCTGCATCACTTCCCCTGTCTGCCATTGGTTGGACAACCAGATAGCCCCGTCCCAAACACACACCTTTGGTTAAGCCAAAGTAGCTGGTTAGAATGTTCAAACAAACAAACCAACAAATGGTTCACATAGTTTCTGTATATTTAACCCATGTGAAAAAAATATGCACTTCTTTGGTATTCCTCCCTTAGTAAAAAAGGTATAACATTAAAAAGAATAATACATTTGGTATAAAATGGCCAATAACAACCAGAGGGTTAAGAACGGACAGTTTGATCCAGTTTATCATTATCTATTAGAGCACAGGCCTTATAAAATGAACGCTATTATATTAAAACATCTCTTTTATGACACAAGTTATATGATTTACATGTCATAATTTGGTCGTCTCATCAAATTATTATTATCAGTGCAAGTTATTACTCACTGCGTTATCTGGATCACTCCTAAAATTCCACTTCTGCCGGTCGGCAATGGCCTCTGTAGCAAAACCCAGCCCCCATATTCCCCAACCGATGTAGTCACGTGGGCCCAGGGGCTCATCTCTTCTCTCACTGTTTAGACTTAGGGTGGGCAACAGGGTAATAAAGACCCACAAAGCTAGAAAAAAAAGGAGAAACAAGTTGCATTTGAATGAAAGTTGACTAACTTGATGGCAGTAAAGTTACTTTCCAAGTTGTTCGTAGTGTAGAACATTGGAATAGAATAAAATATTCAAACAGAATAGAATTGAGCTATGTGATCATTATGTGACAGAATAGAACAGTACAGAATAGGTGCACGGTTCAACTTCTACTTGCGTGATTCATAATATAATGCAATATAATATTAAATACTGAAATAGAATAGGTTGAATATTTGATCTTTATTATGTGACACAGAATAGAACAACAAAATAGGTGCAACTTATAAGTTAAACTACTTATGGTATTTGATTCATAATAGAATACAATATAGAAATAGAATCGAGATATATGATCATTATGTGATATAATATACTAGTAAAGGTACTTTCCTAGTTATCTTTTTGTTGTTGTTGTTGTGACTGAACACAAATGGCCTACTGCGGCCATCAATTAACACTAACTATGCAAATAATCAATAGCCGTGGTTGAAATACCTTGCATGGTCCAGTACACAAAGAATGTCCCAGGGCTGTCTCTGACATTGTCAAATCTCCGGTCTTGTCCTTCCTTTAGGATTCTAAGAAAGAGAAATGTCCCGAGCCTGCAGGACAAGGCCCAATCTGTTACTAATTGACTTATTAACCAGACCTTAATGGATACATTAATGCAACAAAAAGCTGGACTGACTTCACTTTTATTAACGCTGTTAAATCTACAAGACAAGAAGACTTTTACAATATCTATCTATACCTCAGACCCCAGGCAGTGACAAGTCCAGTTTGTACGTTCTGTCTAAAGTGGCCAGTTCCGCCCCATACCCGACTCAGATGAGCCAGCAATATGAAGGTACCAGATCCTACAAAACAACAAAATGAATCTGTAGTTAAACTGATAAGGCATTCAATATCCAGATATGGGCAGAGCAGCCAGTCACCTGTGTCCGTCCATTTTAAAAGTGAGGCGTGCTCACTGAATACTTTACCAATGAATCTAGAGACAATTGGTAGCAAAGTTCAAGGATCCTCAAGAGCACACTTCTCAGAGAGAAAGAGAGGGAATAGCATTCAGTGACCTGTGTTTGAAAGACTGAAATGATTGGATAATATTTGAACTACACTGAAAAGCAATGCAAATTGAATGCTGACAGGTGAGTAGAAGCTATTTTTATGTAGAGAATAAGACTTTGAATTACATGGATAATCATCAAGTCCTCGTGGATAGTTCTCACATCTTCATGTCCGCAAGTTGTGATTACTTTCTACATGCCATGCATAAGATGCTAATCAATATAGCTGTTAAAATTCATTTATGCAATATTAAACGGTTTATGTATAACACTATAAACAGTTTTAAAATGGTGTTATAATGTATTTTAAATATCTGTACAGTTAAATATTGTTATTTTCCGTATAAATATAATTTAGTTTCGAGGTTTGTGCAAATATGCTTATACAGATTAAAGTAGCACATTGTTTTGCACTTGTACTAATTTATAGGCTCCAAGATCATATCCGAGTTACAGTCGATCATCATAAGTCCCGCCTCTATCTGCAGGATTGACAGTGATGTACCCAAAGTTTGGCCAATTATACGACGCCTACTCTGTAGATAAAATGCTCTGATTGGTTGAGAGGCCGGCTTGTCGAAATACAAGTGCACTTCAGTAAGCTTTAGGATGTGGTGGGTGGAGAGACGTATTTATGGTGGTTTCACAACACGTTATTGTAGTTTAGATAACTACCGTCTCGTAATACAATTTACCTAACCTATTTTTCTCGTCCAAAAATAAAAGAAGCTCTAAAAAAGCTGCATGAGTTGCGACGCAACAAAACAACTGCAATTTTTTTAAAGCGAAATATCATTTTTGTGTGTGCATACTAATGCATGAACATTACTATATCAATATCGTGTGACTACGCCTTTTGGATAAATCATTTACCTGCCAAGTCGTAAAACTTTTCCGTTTTGAGAGCAGACGCTAGTGCCCACCCAACCCACTGAATGGCCAGGTCGGTGATAGCACACTTGGCCACCGCGCTTCCCATGATCATGTCCAGCATGTCCTGATTCTGAAGAGGCAGCAATGTTACAAACTCAGTTCAGTCCAAAAAGCAGATCAAAGTTCACAACATCCACATTTGGGAGGAAGAGGAGTGGTCAATGTTGCTTGTGTGTACTGTGGCTTTTGGGAAATGTAGTTTGGAAATATCTGTAATGCTTTTTATGTCTTAGGTACTGCTTATATTATATAGAATAGAATAGAATAAAGCTCAGTAGCATGTGGGCCATAATAGAACGAATGCAAAATTTTACTTCTACTTATCTGATTAGAATAGAACAGAAAAGGGGAATAGAACAGAATAAGCTGAATGTTTGATCTTCATTATGTTATATTAAATAGAATAGAACAGTAATGGAATAAGTTCAGCTTTTTATCTCATTTCTAACATTTATTTATATAGTGCTTTTTACGATATAGATTTTAAGGTAGTTTCACAGTAATAAACAGGAAAATAACAAGTGTTGATGTTGCAGAATTTTTCAACAATTTCAATTTCAGCTGTAAAGCAGCTCGACAGAACAGACAATATTGTCGTAATTCAGCTCAGTTCAGTTCGATGTTGATTCATAATATAAAATAATATAATGACTCTAGCATCCCATACGGTTTGGAAAATGAATGAATTATATACTATAATCTAGGCCTAATAGAATATAATTTCAGCCTTCTCCACAAGCGGGCCCTTACATAACCATTCACTATAAAATATGACTCAGGGGCCGCCGCAAAGCTCAAATCATGACCTGGAAAGATAAGAAGTTTACGACTTATGACTGTGGAGGAAGCCAAGAGAAGGCGTGTTTGGACAGAATACAGAGGTATGTAAAGACACCAAGTCCACTGTCGTTTTTCTAAAAAAAAAAAATTCCTTTTATTTCCCAGGGTTGGCCAGGTAATTTAAGGGTTTAACAAAACATTATTCAAGAAGAAAACAAGCGGAGAACATGGCAGAGAGCAAGGCCAGCATCAGCTCAAAAGGAGGGGCCAATGTTCTTGCTAAACGGATGCAGAAACAATTCAACAGAGCACAGGAGAAGGTACGTGGCTGGAATCATAAAACACTATGTCAAGAGCGCCAATGTGATTTCCAAAGTCTTCCTGTTTGAGAGCACAGAGACTTTAGTGTTATTTTCATCCAATAATCAATCCAGTCACATGACATGGGAGTAGCTGACACAGGTCGCTTTATCTACTCCAGCGACAAGAGCCAATGCAAACAAGCAGCTTCTTTCGCTGCTTAACAGTCTCCTTTATTGCCACAATTGTATTTTATTTAACTACTAAGGCTGACCAAGTCACCGTTTACTTTTCTGTTTTCACCTACTGAGTCTGTTTAAGCCAGGGGTATCCAGTCCTGTTCCTGGAGATCTACCTCCCTGCAAACTTCAGCTCCAACCCTGATCAAACACAACTGAACCAGCTAATTAAGATTTTCAGGAGCACTACACAGGTGTGTTTGGGCAGGGATTGAGCTGAACACTGCAGGTTGAGCTGAAGATCTCCAGGAACAGGACTGGGTTTAAGCCCTTCATATCTTGTCATCTCAAAGTGTCTATTGGAGAAGTCAGGTGAATAGTTCGATCTACAACCATGTAAGCGAGCCTTTTTCTTCGCCAGTGTGCGCTTATCAATATTTCAAGGTTCAGGTGTAACATCCATTGCAGTGCTGTCAGTAGAGTTTGACAATCCCCTTGACATGGCTGTCAGGTATGTAATAAGTGATGCTTTTGCAGGTGTTGCAGAGGCTTGGCAAATCTGAGGAGACCAAAGATGAGCACTTTGAGCACTGTGTCACGAACCTCCAATACCAACAGGTGCATTAGATCTGCTATGGTATACAAAGTGACTGCTTTGAAGATCAAAAGATTGCCTAATATGTCCTTGTGATCTCCTTTGCAGAACGATGGATACAGAGTATACAAGGACCTTAAAGCGTACCTCAATGCTGTCACAGGTTGGCTCTTTACTATGAGACTCATATAGGACATCAGCTTCTTCTGAACAGGATTACTGACTGTCGTTGTATGTTTAACAGTAATGAGGGATGCTTCAAATCGACTGTTTCAGTCCTTGTATGATGCCTACGATGATAAGTGGGATGGTGCAGAGGATCTTGGGCCAGTTGTGGAGGTTAGTCTCAGAGACCACTGTAAGAATATATAGAAAAATCTGTTAAGTTTACATTTCATTTAACCCTAAAACACCTGTGAATATACAGATTTTTTTTTTCATGGTAACAGTATACATTGGTCCCTATTTTTAAAGACTTTTCTTAGAGTCTTGGGCAGTCTGTGATGTTTGGACATGAAAGTTACACTTTAAAATCCAAATGTGCGTTCATCAGCGAAATTTCACGGGCAAAGTATGTTCATTGTGCATTTGTCAATAGCGATGTATGAAGCGCTGCTTACTCAGAGGTCACTTCCAAACCAAGCAGCTTTATATTCTTTATACACACTTTATACACACTTACAAGCCTCCGCTTTATACACACTTTATTATAAATGATTATACATCCTAAATTATTATAAATTCTCAAATTATAATTTCCTATATTAATACAAATATGACTCTCTGTGTTCCAAAGGGAGAAGAGCTTCTGTGGAAAGATTATGAGGACAAGATGCATGATCAGGCATTAATCACGATGGAGTCGTACATGAGCCAGTTTCCAGATGTCAGGGTAAAAATGGCTGCCTCATATACTGGCAAACGCACCTTGCACAAAGCTCTCAATCATTTTTTTAAATGCAGTTTGTATGCTATTTTTCTTCATGATTCAGGAAAAGGTGGCCAAGCGAAACAGGAAGCTCGTAGACTATGATTCTACTCGCCATCACCTGACAGGGCTGCAGAATGCTAAAAAGAAGGATGATATTAAAATTGGAAAGGTATTGTATGCCATCTTTTACTTATTTCACATTTTTTTGTTCTGCCCGTGTTTGTAGCCTTACTGATAAGTTCCAACCTTGCAGTCATGTTCTTTACTACCAAAAATGACATTGCTAGCAACATTATGATATAATTCAGATTCTTGAAGACCATGTATAGATGTAAAGGATTTTCCGTATATGCTGGTGTTTTTATAGGCAGAGGATGAGATGAATGCAGCAAAGGTGATATTTGAAGACATGAACAGGGAGCTGAAGCTGGAACTGCCTATTCTATTTGACAGGTGAGTTCTGGGGTTATTTTTATAGTACACAGATGGATCTTGTTTAAAAATGCAATATTGATTACCTTCATTTCTGTTTGTTCTGCATTATATAGTCGCATTGGATGCTATGTCACAGTCTTCCAAGCCATTTGCAACCTCAAAGACATCTTCTACAAGGAGCTTACCAAGGTAAAGCAAAAGCTGAAAATACAGCTTGAAAATAAAATACTTGGATCAAACAAAAGAGTGATTCCTCATGTTCTGTAACTCCCTGAGAAGTCTTTTTTTTCTTTTTTGGCCCCAAGAACAATGAGGTTCTGCAGACTGTGATGAAAGAGCTGAGCACCCAGCATCCAGACAAGAGCTTTGTTGTGAAGAACTTCAACCGGTATATGGCTTTCTTGTCTGTTCTTCTATATATTTTTCCAATAAACAAGTTAAATATCAGTAGTATAATATTTTACAGTAACAAATTACTCTTTGTTTTCCTTTTAAGCTTTGGTTCCTTGAAGAGAAGGTCATTTAGAGACACGTTGTCCCCCAGATCACTTAAAAGCTTTAAAGATTTCCACACCGGTTACAACCCCAGAGGCTCTCTAAGGTAAAAAAAAAACAACAACATAATTTCAGTTTCTCTCTTCGCCTTGCTGATTTAAAACTTGGAAACGAATGCCATCTGCTGGTGAATGTGCATGATTAATAATATAAAGGCAGAAAAAGTATTACTCTAAAATCTTAAATCAAAAGTCTAAAATTACACAAAGTGCTTGTGGCCAAAATAATAATGTGGTATCTTTGTTAGGAGATCTCTTATAAGATGCAAACCATCATATTTCTCTGTACATTTGCTATTACAGGAGAGACAACTCATCCAGTTTTAGGTCTGACAGACCAACATATGGGTCATACAGCCCTAAGCAGACCAGCCCTCAGCCCCTTTATGAGAACGTCTCTGGTGCCAAAGATGCAAAAGGCAGCCCTACAAGATTAGATTATCATACAGAGGAAGGTACCTCGGCCCATGAGCCACAGCTGGATAACACCAGCACCTCTGAAGATAAACCGGTGGAAGAAGACAGGAAAGCCAAAAAGAAGGAGTCCTCACAAGCCTCAGATCAAGATACACCGAATGAGGAGGAGTCTTCTGAGGAGGACTGTGATGAGAGTGAACTGAAACCAAACTCAAATATCGCTGAATGCTCCAAGATCAAAGATCAAAAATCACCCGAGAAGGTGCGAGACGATGGGCCTTCTGGTGTGGAGAATGGAATAGCTTGTGACGTTAAATCAGATGTGGAACAAGCTGAGGCTTCAAACAATGTGAGTTCTGTAAAGGTGTAAACACATTATAGAACAACCCATATTATATATATATATATATAGAGAGAGAGAGAGAGAGAGAGAGACATCAAAAACATACACTACTGTTTGTCATTACAGTTAAAAGTTTGGAATAATTCAGATTTTTTTAATGTTAAAGTCTTTTATACTCACCAAGGCTGCATTTATTTGAAGAAAAATACTGTAAAAACAGTAATATTGTGAAAATAATTACATTTGACATTTTAATTACATTAGAGTCACATGATCCTTCAGAAATCATTCTAATATGCTGATTTGCTGCTAAAGAAACTTTTTTTTTAATTTAAATGATCAGTGTCGAAAACGGTTGTACTTGTTATTATTTGTGTGGAAACCATGATACATTTTCCCCCAGAATTCTTTAATGAATAGAAAGTAAAAAAAAAAAAACATCATTTATTTGAAATAGAAATCTGTTGTAACATCATAACCTTTCATTTGCAGTCTGGCAAATGAGCCCGTATGTAATTATAGCCATGCTTTTAAACAATTCTGAACAATTCATTTCATAATTCCTACTGTCTTATGTTCGGTTTCAAAAATGTAGTACATAGTATACAGTATAATTATATACTGCAGTGTTCAGTAATTAGTAGGCCATTCCATTCTGAACATAGCCATTATGTTCATTCTTTAAAAAAACATAAAAATGTAGTTCAAAACAGGATGCAATTTTGATTGGTTTGACCTGTTTCAAGGCTCTTACCAAGGGTGACCATCCGCCAGGAGAAGTGAACGAGTGAGTGACAGCAGAGGCCCCTAAATAGCAGACAAAAGGTCAGCATAATTTGAGAGCACTTACATGTACAGCTCACACTCATGTTGTGCTCATGTGTTCCATTTAATCCACTGTGAGCAGATGGCTCAATGTGTTTTTCATTTCAATGTTGTATCTGTTTACAGAAAAGACCGTGTTTATTGGCAATGCACTGGACTCGGACTGCAAATGCACAACATAACAGAGGACATCAACTGCTGTACTCGCTTGTAGTCATTATTTTTTTCATCCTTGATCGTTTGAGATATGAATTTTCAGATAAATATTTAAATTCTGGGTTTTAATCCAAGTTTCTTTTAGACTACAATCACTTCCCTGTATTGTCTTCTATCATATGTGGTGGTCTTCCTTATGGATTTTAATGTTCTTAGATACACTATATGACATACATTTGTCTAACTGATCACAGGAAACAATGGGAAATGTTGTTGTGTACTTGACAATTATCCATCATTAAATAACTTAAAAATAAAAATGAACTTGTCACTCAATTGCCTATTTTTTATTATTATTATTATTTTTTTTTACATTTTCTTCATTACACACTCAAGCAATTAAACTACTGCTCCAAATCACCTTTCTTTATTTTTAGAGGTTAGTCTAGAATGCAGGGTGGTGGTTGTTGGTTAATATTAGTCATTTCGTGGAATGCGACTATTGTTTGATGCTTCACGGGAAGCAGGCAGAAGGAAACACTCCTGAACGCAATTTAGTCACTCGTTTCGGAGAATCGGCTCCTTTGAACGGTTTGTTTCAAAGAACCTGTTCCAAAGGGATTAAATGATTCTTTACGTCATGACGCAATTACATCAGCCCGCCGTATGGCTCCACAATCAAACGTCCTAATAAAAGCAAATGCATTTTATTAGTTTTTATTCTACTAAGTTTTATTAATTAGTTAAGTAATGTCATGTGTCGCAGTTCAATTTGTTTCAGCTGTGAGATAACAAGTGAATAAAATTACTCGCAGCCTATTTACATATGTTAGCGTGTAAGGGTGTTGGTAAAACTTCATACAATTTTCATATTTCCAGTAACGTTACGTTTTCAAATCCCGGTTTGTGACGGCAACGGCTGTGTCCGAATTCGGTTCAATGAATCGTTTAGGTCACTGAATCGAGATTGAGAACCGCTCAGTCTAGTTGGAGTTTGTGAACCGGTTCAGCTGATTCGTCGAAAAGATCCGATTCAAACGAACGATTCGTTCACAGATCGGATATGACCGCGCACTCAAGACCGTTTTGTGGATGAGCTTGTGGTGGCTTCATGTTGTTCTGCCTTGGCTTGAACGCAGCTTACTTTTCATGATTCCTCGGTCTGAAGTTTAATTTTTATCTTTAACTAAAAGTAGTTTAACCGTGACTCTGACACTCAAACAGGTACGTTACATTTTTTTTTGTTCCTGTTGGGCTGGAAGTAAGTCTGACGGTTTCAAATGGCTCAACAGCTGTACAATGATCACAGTATGACAAATAACACATAAATGGAATCGTGAGGATTACAGGTTTAGGTTGTCTCTACCTCAAAACAAGCAAACCAACAATCTCACCGGTGCGTGGTTCTTTGCAGCACCTCTAGCTTTGTGTGTAGTGTGCCTACAGCACGATGAGAGCCGTTTTCAAATGAGCTTTGTGTTTTAACCCTACGAGATTTGTAAGAAAGCAAGTTCATTCAATTTAGGAAGTGAGACTTATGACTGCTGCCACAGCATTTGATTTATAAGTTTAATAAGGGTCATTCGACACAACGGGTGCGTTTGTATACATTATAAGCATGTGGGTAAATATGATTAAATGAATGCAAACATTTTAATGTATGTTAATATAGAAATTTTCCTAACCATAGCATAAAAAAGGGAAATAAATCTGTCTCTTCCTCGTGTTTTATCTGACTTGTCTCCACCCCTGTGTATCCAACTTCTTCACACTAGCGTTTTATCCTATCATATACAGTATAGCCCTTGTAATGTATAATAATAATGTCTCATTGCTAACTAAATCATAAATAATCCCATTGCTATGATTTTGGGTGGTCAACCAAAATCAGCATTACATTCTCTTTCTAGTAAGAATTTTGTAGTTTAATGAATTTAAACAACATTTTTAATGTCAATTTAAAGTTTAAAACGGTTTTATTTCAAAACGGGCTTAATTGTGGTCCAACATATATAAAAATGCATTAAAGGAATAGTCCAAAAATGTAAATTTGCTGAAAATGTACTCAACCTCAAGATGTTTGAATTGATTGCAGTGAATGGGTGCCGTCAGAATGAGAGTAGCTGATAAAAACATCACAGTAATCTGCAAGTAATGCACACGACTCCATCAATGAATGTCTTGTACAGCAAAAAGCTGCATGTTTGTTAGAAACAAATCCATCAAGATGGTTTTAACTCCAAACAAACTCATCTACATCCTAAATGGCCTGAGCGTGAGCAAATTCTCAGCATATTTTCATTTTTGAGTAAACTATCCCTTCAATTTAGCTTGAAATGTATACAATTTCTAATTATGATTCAATGTGTCTGACAATGTTTGAAAAATTACCATATCGTACTAGAAACACCCATTTTATAGAATGACCCTTAACCTGTGATGTATGTAGAAATATTTTGAAAAGTGGGTTGACTTAAGTTTTTACAAATTACTTATCTCCCAAAATGTCCCTGAACATTTAATACACAATTTTCTATTCCTTCTTCCACATGTAAGTGCCCCTCTCTTCAGGCAGTTCCAATAAGCCTCAGTGGCACACAAACTGTACATCTGTCTCACAACCCAGTGATGTTTGTCCACGTTTAGTTAATGTATAAACAGAAGTTTACTTAAGTCATATCGTCTGTTACAGAAAGGACATATTTGTAAAAAATAAAAGTCACAGTTGGTACTATGTTTTGCTGTTATTGAATTGAGTAAACCAGGTTTATTTTGCTCCATATAGGTGTCCGTTTCAATACAGTTATGACTTTCACCATGACTAGCACACCTGCTGGTAAGTTCTACACCTTGTCTTCTAATATAAAGAGCATTCAAAGTTTCCTTCACAGGCTTTGGGTGTGTCATTTATATCAAACAATGAATCTGAACATTATAATAGTAACATAATCTTGGCACTAACACAATTTATTTTGCATATAATACTTGTACAGTAGTATAACCTGACCTCATTTGGGTCTTGAAATGTTTCATTCGAGGCTGTACTTAAGCATTAAAGCAGCACTATGTAACTTTTGACGCTCTAGCAGTTAATAAACTGAACTGCACACATCCCGCAGAAGAACATTCCAACCAGAGCTACTTCTCTAAGCTTATGTCTATGGCAGGGGTGTCCAAACTCGGTCCTGGAGGGCCGGTGTCCTGCAGAGTTTAGCTCCAACTTGCCTCAACACACCTGCCGGGAAGTTTCTAGCATGCCTACACTCTTAAAAATAAAGGTGCTTCACGGTGCCATAGAAGAACCTTTTTGTCTAAATGGTTCCATAAAGAACCTTTAACATCTGAAGAACCTTTCTGTTTCACAAAAGGTTCTTTGTGGTGAAATAAGGTTCTTCAGATTACAAATAGTTAAGAAAGAGATGGTTCTTTAAAGAACCTTTGACTGAATGGTTCTTTGTGGAACCAAAAATGGTTCTTCTATGGCATCGCTGCCTTTTGAAGCACCTTTATTTTTAAGAGTGTAGGCATGCTAGAAACTTCCCGGCAGGTGTGTTGAGGCAAGTTGGAGCTAAACTCTGCAGGACACCGGCCCTCCAGGACCAAGTTTGGGCACCCCTGGTCTATGGCGATTCACGCAGGAATGTGTTACTCCGCAGCGATGACGACCCGACCAGGCTACAATAGTCCACATATAAGTACTTATTATAAGTGTATCGTAGTGATTCGGAATGAGACAAAAACGCGGTTTGGAAGATAAATTCTTCATGATGTACTCGCTCATTATATACATTTTGCAAATTCTGAACACAGAAAAAGTTACATAGTGCTGCTTTAAATAAAATCTATGCACAGTGAATGCCTAACTTGGTGCCATGTTGCATTTCTCCTAATCTGATTACTCTTCAACAATGCTCAACAGTTTCTCTAGCTGGAAATGGTTGTAATTCCACATTTTAGTGAATGTAATCGACATACAGGTTTAGTGTGTCATTCTTAGTGTTTTAGTTTTTTTTCTCAGGGATAAATGTTACATCAACAACTGCAGCTCCACCGCAAACAGACACGACTGTCATTGGAGGTAATTGACTTCTAGTGTAATAGATTCTAGCTCATAGTGTAAGATGTCAGTGCAGATCATGGTATTAGACTAAAGCCATCCAATTACCTTAATGACTAGGAATTATATATTGTGTTGGACAATCCTAGAAGGCTTTTGTGGGGATGGTATGGGTTTTGTAAGGTGTTGTTCACAGTACATAGTGTTTGCCAGCAGGTCTTATGATGATGCTGCATATTAGAGAGAATGTAAGATTATTTTTCTTTTATCTTTTATAATATTATACATGTCTTTACTGTTACTTTTGATGAATTTAATTTGTCCTTGCTGAATAAAAGTATTAAATTCCTCAAATGTAAAAAATTTTATTTTGGAGGCTTTAAAATTAAGGCATAATAATAATTTTAAAGCCTCTAAAATTACTTTCAGGAGACTTTTTTTTATTATTATTATTTGTAAAGGGTTTTTATGTATTTGTAGTAATATATATTTTGTCATTTTTGAATAGGGTAACACTTTATTTTGATGGTCCCCTTTAGATATTTTGTTATTTATTGATATTTAAGAAACTTTGCAACTACCAGTAATGCTCATTTTATAGTTACAGACTGTCTGCTTAATATATCTGAATGCTTTATTTTGATGGTCCCCCAGCGGACATTCTATTGACTGTAAGTAACTTTCCATGTAAATGTCAAGTTATTCTACTAACTTTAACCCTGACCATGACCTAACAGTCTACTGATACTCTAATGAGAGTTTGTTGATGTGTAGCTGCAAAGTTACTTGTAGTCAAAATAATGTTTAAAGGGAAACATCAAAATAAAATGTAACCTTGAAGGGTAATATTTCTTCATTTGATCTATTGCACATTGCTGGCTGTTTAAAATGATTTTTCTTTTTAGTGGTAATTGCACTGATCCTGGTGACCCTTGTTGTCTGTGGGTTCCTGCTGTACAGATACCTGTGCCACAGTAAGGGTGTTTACAGAACCGCAGGTGAGCCTGCTCCAGGTGTGGACCCTGACCAGGTCTACAATGACACCGTCACTGAAAACAAGAAGGAATACTTCATCTGAACTGCTTGGCATCAGAGGGATTTAACCCATGATCAGTACGCATGGACTGCTGCAGACATCTAAATAGTCTGTGTAGAGAGGTATATGTGCAAGACATATGGGACATAAACCACTGGTCTGTGCTCTATGAAAGAATGTTTAGTTGAAAGGATACAGTTTGAGTTTTATGTTGGGAGGATAAGTTGCTTATTCATGACATCAATAAGCTCACCATCGGTTTTCATTTGGGACAAACTTTTTGTTTTTTTGCTGACAAATAGTTATGCCTGTGTATATAGTTTATAGTTCACTCAAAAAAATTTTTTTTTTAACTTGCTACTTCAGCAGAAATTACATGATGGTTCATATACAAGAGTTAATAATGAATTCTTTATCATTAATTATGAAATTATTATCAGCTATTATTAGAGTTCAGGTAGCATATGTGGCACTGCACCTCAAATGGCAAACATTGTAGGCACTGTACAAATGTGGTTTTATTCAGTTATAAGTCAATATAGTGTTAAAATGCCTTTTTCCTTTGACCATATTGCCTGGCTTTTTATTTAAATTTTTTTTTTTTATTTATTGGCGGAATTTTTAGTTTATGAATAGTTGGAGAGTCTACTGTTATAGTGCCTTGTAAAACATTTAAATGCTTTTTTATTTTTTAATTGACATTTTATAATTTAAGTTTTATTTTTTTTGTTTATTAATTTTTATTTTTATTACATAGGCTTGCTGTAACGGTGCCAAATATAATACCTATGTCATTATTTACAAACACGCTGATCATAATATCAGATTTTTGTGCAGGGTTACAGTAGTATCTTATGAAAATTGATGTTTTTTTTGTAATTTAAAAATTCTGAGTCATCTTTTTTCATTGCGCTATCAATATGTTACTGTAGTTATTGATATAACACATAATACAATGTCAAATACAAGTTAATATTTAGCTAGTAAAACCAAAATTATTTAATTTGAAATAAATTCTGTGCAAACTGTTTTGTCAGTACAAAAAAGATTTTTACGTTCTATTATGCCTTTGAATAGGATTGTGATTGACAACAATATAATCCATAATCTCCAATCTTGCCTTGGTCTAAATGTGGACCGGAAGTGATTGGTCATTTAGTCAAACATTGGTCATAACCTGGAGATAAACCTCCAAATAAACAACTCGGCAGACAAAAATATAAACATGAACCATTGAAAGACATAATACAACACAGATTGTCAAAATTCAAAATAGCTTTTATTCTAAATTTTGTTTTATACTTAAGGTTTAGTATAAAAAAAAGTTAAGTGCACCACAATTTCATTGGAGACCATTTTGTCATGTAGCAAACTAGGAAGGACCTCGGTTCCTTGATGCTGCAGTATGCATCCATTACAACCCATCACAATCTTTTTATATTATATATATTTATAGAAAAAAAATCAGAAGGGTTCCCTGAACTGTAGTGCCCACATAGACGTATACCATCCATGACTGTCATGGTATTGAGGCTCAAGATAAGCAGTGTATCCGCTACATTGCATACACAAACACACGATGCCACATGCCATGATAAAATGCTGCGCTAAGATTGAAACGGGTATTAAGTTCTGAAAGCTTTGCCCTCGTGTTTTTTGCCTAATGTTATTTTCCTAGCCAAGTAAGAATAAATGAAATGAGATTTAAATAAGGAATGACATAAAGTCAGGTTAGGAATAAATGTGAAACTACTAGGTCAGACGTTTCATACTAAAATAAAAACCTACATCACAGAAAATGATAGAAATGGTGCTAAGGCGATGCCAGCATACTTGGCATGTTTTTTTTGTTTTGTTTTTTACATCAAAATAATTTTTTCCTTTATTTGCAGAGAGAAAATCTACCTGAATGGTCTTTTTATATTCAAATGGGCAAAACCTTTAGAACTGTACTGTAGTGTCGGATACCCAGTGATGCACCTGATACATGTAAAGCCTAAAAAATGAGCCCCATTTGACTGGCTAGCATAAAATGTCCTTTTTTTTTTTTTTATTAAATCAGAAAATTTGTATGGTATAGAGACAAATAATTTGATACCAGTGAATGTATGGAGAATAAATTTGAGTGAACATTTATAAGCACATTTCACCTTTGTCCTATCTAGCAAAATAAGTAGCATTTTAGATTCACAGTCACATCTAATACAGATAACTGCTACAGAACGTATGCGTTGTGGTGTCGAAGAGGACACGGCTGCTTTTTAAAGGAGTAGTTCACTTCCAGAATGAAAATTGTCATCATTAACTCACCCTCCACTTGTTCCAAACCTGTGAGAGTTTCTTTCTTCTGTTGAACACAAAAGATGATATTTTGAAAAATGTTGGTATCCGAACAGTTGATGAGCACCATTGACTTCCATAGTATATATTTTTCCTACTATGGAAGTCAATGGTGCTCATCAACTGTTTAGATACCAACATTTTTTTAAAATATCTTCTTGCTCAAACTCATACAGGTTTGGAACAAGTAGAGGGTGAGTTAATGATGACAGAATTTTCATTCTGGAAGTGAACTACTTTAAGGTCATTATATCACTGTTGGGAGTAGAAATGAAGATTAGCAATTAAATGTATTATAAGCGCAAAAAGCGGTGGAGACAACTGCTGGTGCGTTCCATGAGGCTTTCCTTTTTTTATCAGGTATTTTTGCGAAACATTTTTAAATCACATTACAGATGAGAGAGAGGAAAACTTTAATCCCTTGCGAAACATTTACAAAACAGCACAATTTCTCAGCCGTTGTATAGGCTGCTACGTATTACCACACTGCTTTGAAAAATCATCAATGCAGCAACAAGTATAACTGACGCTATTTGTATTTAAAAGCATATGTACAAATGAAATCGGCAAAAACATTTCAGAATTGGTTGACCGTGCACATAAATTAATTTTGTAGTACTCCTAAAAAATTTTAACAATGATAACACTTTATTGAGAACAAAGCTACTGAAAAGTGCATGCAGAAACATCAAGATGCAACTAGGAAACATTGATATATTTTTAAAACACAAACCCCTAAAAAATGCAGTCACAGCAGTCTTGTGCTCTGTCCGGAAAGCAATCACCATCATCTAAATATGATATGTTTGTTTATTTCAGTATGAATCTGTGTGCAGATGTACTATGACAGAAGACTTACAAAAAGCGAAAAGCTTTTAGTGCATTCTTGTCCAGATCTTTGGTACAAGCAGCTCCCCACGAAAAAAATAAAATAAAAAAGCTTGATGTGCCAAACCATTTAAAATACTGAAAATAAATTGTCTTTCGATTAAGCCCTGACCTCTGTAAACAAGTTTACCTTTGTGGAAATGCCTAAAAATTTGTGTAGAAGCACATATAGCTGGAACACACATAACACGCGCTAAACAAGGTGAAACTGCTATACGTACAGCTCTGGGTATCCGACATTGGAGGGAAAATATTGGGGGGGGGGAAAAAAAATCTGACTTTTCTGAACCAGTTTAGTTAATCTTGTTCGCTTTCTCTTTTACTGCATTTAGGTTCATTCATATGTAAAATTTTAAACAATGGTGCAGTTTTGGCACCTGATAATATTTATATAAGCTTGCCCAAAGGTACAATACGCCGCCATCGTTTGAATTTGTAAACACACCTGTCTCTTTGATATAGAGTGCTTAAATCTGCATTTTACATATTTGACAAGACCTTAATAATGACATGAATGAAAGGCGTAGTTAAGCATACTATTCAAAGAGAAAGTTTCAAGTGCATAGCTACTTTACACAGATGATCTGACTCTTGGCAGTTCTCTTGGCATGATCTCTGGCTCAAGAAGACAACCAAAAACTAGAAAATGTACTGTAAAAATGAAGTTGTAAGAGGTACGCCAATGTCAAAGGAAAAAATGACCTGGTCTTCACCTTAAAAGTAGTCTACTCTAAATTAGCCAACCAATGATTACGGTAAATGAATATATGATCACTAGAAGTTCAAACTTACAATTACCATGCGCTTTTTAACTGTGAATACACAATAATTGTGTTATACATTATATAATTGTGATATTATACCAATAGCGGCGTACTGTACCTTGAGTAAGGGGCTCTAAAATATTACATTCCATTAGATTAAATCAGTATTGTGGCTTAGCCAAGCAGCCCCAAAGGAGGCAGGGGTGGGAGAACAGGTAAAGGGAACCAGGGAGAAGGAAGGAGGGCTTCGGTCCAGGGCCAGTGGGGTGCTCACTGTTACCAGATGGTGTAACCGCCGCTGGAGCCACCCATGAAAAAGTTGCCCTTACGTTGTGTCATCACAACATTTGCACCTTGCATGGCTGCCAACTGAGCCGCATTAGGGATGTGTCCAGGTGGTGGAGGCTTGAATATGAAGAGAAATATGTAAATCAAATACCTATTTCATCAGCTACATTTTCAGGCACGTCTATGCCAAGAGAAAATGTGAAATCATAAATTAAAAAGATCTCAGAACAGATTGAACCTACAAGGAATTTCACACTGACTGTTGAGTTGAAGGACAAAACAAGCTACAGACGTATGGGAAAAAAACATCACATATTGTGGTGTTTTTTTTAATTAATCTGTAAACAAGTTTAGTGCAACATTATTATTATTATTATACTTCAATTTTCTCAAAAGAATTCTCACAAAAAGTTTATTCTTATCACCCGATGTGACGTGTCAACACTGTCAGATACAAAAACAAGTCTTGGCAAAAATTCTTCAGAAATCTTGACAAATTCACTTCAATAAACTAATGACTAATTTTTTTATCTCTATTTTGTCAACGCCAATCTTACAGGTTGACAGCTGATCGCATAATTTTCCTCATTTTAAGGACTTGCTCAAAATGAGGGAAATAATTGGAAAAATACCAAATAATTTCTTTACAATTTGGGTGATGGTGCTAACATATGATGACATGGTTAAATGCAATTATCTTAAATACCTGATAAATATATATTTACATCAATAATAATAATAAATAAAAGCAAAAGTATCTAAAATATATAAATAAAATGTAGTTTTTAGCCAACAACTTCTTTCTCTGATTAATTTAAAAGTGTAAATGGACATTTTCAAAACTATTGCAAGGTAAAACTGTAGGTCATGTTTTGTCCCACATCTCAATAAATCAAAAGGAACTGCGACTGATATTGTTGTACATTCAAATCTGTCTCGATCCTCCAACATAAACTGGATTTGGCTCAGGCCATCCAAGATATATAGATAGTTTCTTCACTGAAAAACTATTGGAGAAATTTAGCATTTCATCACTTGTTCAAAATGTTGTTCCGTCAGAATGAGAGTTCAAACAGCTGATGAAAGATCACAGCCCATCAAGTAACATCTTGTGAAAAGCTGCATGTTTGTAAGAAAGAAATCCATCAAGATGTTTTAACTAAACCATCACATCTGACAAAACTACTATAGTAATGCTTCCTCTGATGAAAAATGTCATCCCGTTGTCCTCTCACATCAAAATCCACAGATTTGTTTGTTTCTGTTTTTGCTTATAAACAGATTTCGCTTCATCTGTGCACATTTCTCTCCTGATTCAGACAAGATGACTTTTTCACTGATGGCATTATTAATAATTATGGACTCCTATTTAGCTAGAAGTAGGGGTAGGCGATATGACCAAAAACGTATCACGTTATAAGTAGTTTTATTTCACGGTAATGGTATATATCACGATATAGTTATTTTTGCTTTCAATTTGGTCTTTATGATATAAAAATTTCTGATACCATAGAAATGTCATCATTTTTGTCACCCATGTCAGTATCACAAAAAACTAATACTAGCCTAAAAAAAAATCAAGCTTACTGAAGACAGCAATTAAACAATCAGCAATTAAATAAGAATAAGAAACTATTTACAAGCAATAGGACAAAAAAACTACAGTAGAATAAATTAAGAAATGCTACATTGTATAATCAAATGTATAAAAACACTGCATAATCTTCACTGTGTAAATGAAATATATATTTCTTATTAAAGTTACAAAAGTGATTTAGTCGAGAGTAGCGAGAGATTTTCTCTTTTGTTTTTTGATTAACATGATTGACAAAGCAGGAATGCTGTCACTTTAAGAGCTGCCCGGATCCAATATACTGTTACACATCTGCTTTCACTTAAGACCTAAATTACTGTGTTTTTACGATACTTGCAAAGACGCTCATTTTGACACATCCAAGTGTGTGTATTTAAACTTTCAAGACCTATAAAGCGGCAAAAATAACGTTCAATACTCCCGTGCTCTATGAGCATCGTCTTCATGTGCGTGCCTCTCTGACAGCGCGCGCATATAGCGAAATGAGTTATCTTTCGCTGCTGATTGCATTTCAATGGCTTAAAATCAATTGTTTTTAAACTGCAATGCAAATACGCGTGCAAACGATCAGCTTCCATGACCAGGTAGTACAAGTACAGCAACGTCAAGTGAGCGTGTAACCGCATTAGAGACCATAGTCGAAAATCTCTACTGGTTGACAAATACAAAAACAATTGTCTTCAGGTATGAAAGATATTACATTTTCCCTTCCCACCCCTAGCTGGAAGCAATTTTTTAAAGTTAAAATGTCTTGATGGATTTGTTTATTACAAAAACACAGCTTTTCACTTCACAAGACAATTGATGGACTGGAGTCATGTGCATTACTGGTGGAATATTGTGATGTTTTTATTGGCTGTTTGAACTCTCGTTCTGATGGCACCCATTCACTGCTGAGGATCTATTGGTGAGCAAGTGATAGAAAGCAAAACATTTTTCCAAATCTGTTCTGATGAAGAAAAACTCATCTACATCTTGGATAGCCTGAGGGTAAGTAGATTTTTAGCAAATTTTCATTTTAGGGTGTACTATTTCCTTAATTGTAGGTTGCTAAATATAAATGCATATTACTTCCTGGATGTTTATTGGGAATACTCACAGGAATGGAAGTACTGGTGCTAGGCCCAAAGCGAGCTCCAGCATCGAATCCGCCTTCCACCATGACGGTGGAACCATGGGGGTACATGGGCCCCATCTGATAATATGCCATTGGGACACTGGGGGCCATGGCCCCCATTGGCACAGACTGAGCATGCATGGGCATGTACATCTGAGTACCAGGGTAAGCTGAGGTCATTGGGGCCATCTGCCCATGGGCTGGGGGAGGAGCCATATACCTGGCCTGATAAACCTGCGAGAGGGAAACATTCACAAAGTGTGAAATCGTAATAGCAATCAGTTTTGTATGGAATAAACACAGAATTTATATTTAAAAAAGGCTTTTTAAAATGAGCTGCACTCCAAGCCATTTTAAAATGCAGATAACCACAAATCTGCAACCATATAATAGTTATGATTAATGAAATTAACATTTTATTGAACAGTGATATTTTATTATATCACATTTGCTGCATTTTTATATAAAAATTGAGGGTTTTATTAAGGTTTTAAACTCATGATAAAAATCACAGTAATGAATGGCCTCAAAATCAAGTTAATTTGCTATAAATCTAGCATACTAGATAGGATACCTCTTTCCTCTGGGAGTTTCATGCTGACTAATTAATTGCTAAAATTGCCTTTGTCTGTTTTGAGTGGTGGCACTTGTATCACAACAGATGATTCATCAAGCACAAATTCCAAAAATGATTCATTTTCTCAGAAGAATTTTTAGCAGGAATCTTTAGCATGCAGTCTTGAGTAAGGGAGCGCACATTTTTGGAAATGCTTCTAAAGTGCTTCCCAAAACATGTTTTTTTTTTTTTTAAATATAGTACTAGATTTAAATGTGACATTGTAAAAAGAATAGGAAAGACCCGTTTGAATGATTTAATGAGATACTGTACATTCACATGACCAGAGAGAGAGTAATGAGCACTGGTAACCTCAGAGTATGGAGGAGGGGCATCTGCATATGGAGACACCTGAGGAGGGACTTGCATAGCAGGCGGGTAAACGGGTGCCGTGCTCTGCTGAGGGTAAACAGCTTGTGGATATGACCCTGCATGGACACCAAGAGAAAAAACAAGACAGTTAATGGTTTCAAATGAATATCACAACAGAATCTTACGTTGATTTACTGTAAAGTAGCCAGCAATATTTTGGTTTTGTCCTAAAGATACTGACCAAGAAAAAACATTCAGCGGTTTTCCTTAAACCAGAGTACACAGGCTTGAAATGAGGATTAAATGAAAAAAATGTAAATAAAATGCATTGGCAAAAGAATTTGAGTGACCCAGACATGTTTTTAAAAGGTTTTATGATATTGACCGAAACCGATATGATCGACAAATGATTTAAGAAATATGGATGTGGAAGCGTATGTATTACAATAAATAACATCAAGCCGCAAACAAACGACACAAAAGGCAAGCTAAACAAGACAGCTAAATCACAACTGAAAAATAAGACAAACTGTTCTTGAGTGAATACCACACGGTATACTGATGAAACACATTTACATAAGATTAATTAAATGATTAAACTGATGCTGTGAGCGTCTCGCTTTCTTAATGAGGTCACCTTTCTGTTCGCGTCAACGCGCTGTAGCAGCCAAGCTAGTCACCCGTTACCCGTTTTCAATCCAAAACATTACCCATTCCGCTAAAATAAGACACTGCCGCGTTAAATATAACAGTGTCCGTCGTTACCTAGTCGATGGCAGATGTTTCTGGCGCATAATCGATAAGAATTCAGTATGTAAAATCGTTTGTTATGTAAGTCAGTTATGCTGGCTAACTCCATTGGTAGCGTTAGTTGCTAGGAAGCGGCTAAGCAAAATAGCAGAAGAGCGGAGATGATCGCGTATTTACCTTTGTTGTTCATTGTTCTTCACTGTAGGTGAAATATTCTAGTGGGCGAGAATTTCAACAGACCGAATTCTGCGTTTATTTGACAATAAATATAAGGTTTACTCAAAGTTCCTCGGTTTTTTTTTTTACTCGTTACTTCCTTGTTTTCGTCGGGCTAAGCTTTGAGGATATTTGTGTTGGGAGGAGCTACGTCAAGCACGCATCAGTTTTTGGACGCCACTCCCTGTTAAAGAGAAACTCGTGACTCATTATCTACAAAACGAAACTCTCTGTAAGCCCCACTTTATATTATGAAAATAAACTTTACGTATAGAGTATAAAAGTATAGAATATATATGGAATTTTACGTATTTATATGTAAAATATTTGTGTTTATATATAGGGCAGGTCCAGGGCCGTTTCTAGCCAATTTGACGATTGAGTTCCACAAATCTGAATGCATTATTTGTAAATTGACTGTTTAGATAAACATTTTGCACAATTTAGTATCTGTAATATCATTGTGTTGCCACTAGATGCCTGTATAGCCCTATGTAAAAATCTCTAGTGCAGGGGTAGGCAAGTTCGGTCCTAGAGAGCCGCATGCGATCCTGCAGAGTTCAGCTCCAACCCTGAAAACAAAAGTCGCCTGCCTATAGCCTTAGTAATCCTGAAGGCATTGATTAGCTTGTTCAGGTGTGTTTGATTAGGGTTGGAGCTGAATTCTGCAGGACTGAGGACCGAACTTGCCTACCCCTGCCCTAGTGGCTAAGACATTGCACATAATTTACAGATAAATCACACATAAATTATTTTTATTACATTTTGATTTGGATACTATATACTATACTACTACATATTGTTTAGATATTATCAATGGCTACTTTTTTTTGTCTTTATCTGTTTTTTGTTCAGTGCCAGTACGTGCGCTCATTGGCACCCCTTCAGCTGGTGGCACCCTAGGCGACCGCCTAGCTCGCCTATGCCTAGAAACGGCCTTGGGCAGGTGTCATAGACAGAGGTGGGACCAGCAGTTTTATACTGTAAAATGTACAGGTTTTGGCCGTAAATGTGTTTACAGTTTTTCTGTATTTTTACAAAATTATTCTGGCAACCACAGCTGCCAAAAAAGAAAAAATTTGAATTTGAATTTTTTTTACAGTGTAGTTTGCCCTTAGTAAAACTACTCAAGTTTAATTTAGGGATTGTGCCAAAATAGGACAAGCAGTGAAAAAAACTATTTTATTAGTAACAGAATAGCAAAGATGACATCATTTCATAGAAATAACAGCTGCAACATACTTTGCATGTGTGCATAAGAATAGCTATATGCTTCTAGGTGTTATATCTAAGCCAATGAAACAGATTTAAAAATATGTGAGCGGAAACGCAGAAAGAACTGCTTTGAAAAAACTAGAAGAAATAACTGCAAGCATACTTTGCAAGTGAGAGGAAACAGACAAACTCATGAAGACAATCATTCAAAAATGCTGTGCTACCATCCTTTATAACCAAGAGTAACAAAGAAAAAATAATTTAATAGAACAAAATGTTGTATGTTAAATGTTAAGTTTATAATATGCATTTGATCGCTAAATTTAGGGGCTGTGTGCGCTATTGGCCTCCAGACTGATTTACAACATGTGAATTCATTCATTTATCCTGAAAGAAATGGAAGTGACACGAGAGCCTGCAAGAGGGAGAAAAATTGAGAAGCCTATATTTTATAGTTATATATACAATACTCATTTTGTGAAAGAAACACTTCTTCAAATTATATTTAAAATTATCATTAGGGCTATTGCCGCTTGCTTACTTCAGACATTAGGCCTATGTGCATTTTTCTTCTTCAAATTATAGCTGAATGGTTTGCAATGATTCATTTTAAATCTAGATTAAATGTTACACCAAACTTCAAACCTTTAAAAATAAGCAGGTTTACATTTTTAACCCATCATTTTGATCGGATATAAGTTATATTTAAGATTAACTTTAATCCTGTTGCACCATAACTTTAAACTCAGATTTAAATCTCAATTATGGATTAACTTTAAACTTAACCTTTAAATGCATACCTCGGGTCTTTAGCGACCAGGGACATCATTCTCTACCCTCTCCCTCCTTAAATTTTTAAAGTTAGACATCAACTTTCTTAGTATTCCACAATCTATTAATTATAAACAATATAAGAAGAAAAAAAATAGTAAAATATAAAAGAATGCCAGTTTTCTGATACATTTTTTGTAAAAAGTGTATAGGGTCGCTAGAGACCCAATGTATGTAAATGTGTAAGTATTTTTTCCTGCACAACTATATTTACATATCTGATGACTCAATATGTGCAGTGCATCTTTTTTCCTCAAGGTGGCACTGTTTGATACACAATAATGGCGTGACGTTTCACTCATAATTACCGCAGGCATAAAACAAACGAATAACATCAGCAAAAATTGAAGTGGTTTGAATGGCTTTACTGCAGAGCAATTACTATACGCAATTAAATATAAATGTCACTGTCATTTGATGCTGGATGTGGTGAATAAGCTGCCAATGATAAAAATATTGAATGTGAAGTCATTGAAAACGATAGTTTTGAGAATATGGATGAGATCGTGAATGTGAGGCAGATGCTGAATATACTGTGGAAGTGCGCTCTGACGATGACAGCGATGGGTAAAATCATCTGCCCAAATTGAACCCCTTAACGACTTTGATCTGATCATGAAGTCTTTCCGAGTCACAGGGCTCAAGTCCAAGTCAAGTCTCGAGTCCTTGATGTCAAAGTCTAAGTCGAGTCTCAAGTCTTCTTTAATTATGTCGAGTCGAGTCGCAAGTCATCAAATTTGGGACTCGAGTCCAAATCAAGTCTTGAGTCAAGTGACTCGAGTCCACACCCCTGGTCATAGATGCAATATGTCACAAAGGCCATACTTTCTCATAGTAAATATATGAGTTTGAGTAAAAAGTCCAGTTACACAATTGTGTGTTTTCTCAAAAAGTGGTTTTCATGTCCGTTTCAAACGCCTAGTTCAAAGGGATCTTAAATTAAAATAAAATACTTTTGTAATCAGTGTTGGGTAAACAAGTGAATATAATAAAACTGCATAGCATACATCCAGACGAGGTAGATTTTAACTAAAAGGTGCTTTTTCAAGAAAATCAGATGCATATTCTAATATGTGTTTTCAGGTTAAGGGTTCTTCAAATAAATGTCAGACAGGCCAAGTTTTTGCATGCCGTTTCATGGCCTGTTTTCACAGGTTTTCCTTTTTTTAAGCTAGGATTAAGCAATAGTTCAATTAGGACATTTAAGAAGTTTTTATAAACGTGACTTAAAAAAACATTACTGTGTGCATCTTGAGACAAATCAATGACACTTACATATTTTAAGATATGTCAGTGCAAGTTTCTTTCAGTTAAATCAGTTTAAATTAAAACAGCTCAGACATGCATTTTAGTCTGGGACTAGGCTTAAGCCTTGTCTGTGAAACCGGGGGCATATGTGATCATTTAATATGCCATTTACTAATTACAGTTCTCTGTAATGACAGGTTTCATTATGACTTCTTACATTATAGTGTGACAACATGCCCTTCTATTACTCAAGTGTTGACAATTTAGTATCTTGTTAATATGCTGTGGATATTTTTATATTTTACTTTCCCAATAATATTATTATTGACATCAGCATGTAATATGAAATCCTGTCTACTCATAGGGTTCGTTAGTATGGAACGATTCTGCACACTTGAACCTGTAATATTGCATAATTAGGCCCTTGGAAGTATGCCAAGCAGAGCAGAGGTTTCATTAAGATTGTTTAAATTAGTTCCAGTATTCAACCCAATATATTACGTATCAGACTTTGAATAGGAATGATGATCCAAATTTTGTTTTGCACCTCTGTGACTAAATTAAATGTGGTTTATGCATTTGTATGGCTGGGCCCACAGGCTCTTTAGGCAGTATAAAGTTGCATTTTGTGGACATCCCTGGTTGGCCCTGCATCTATTCCAAAATAAAACAGAGCAGGGCTTTGTCAAGAAAACGAAAAAAACATATTTAATGAACATTTTTGTTTGCAATGTATATGTCTTTATATCAGATGTACATCAGTACATTAGTTGGGGCCTGTATACTGGATGTGAACCTAATTACAGATTCGTCTGTATTCAGCAATCCCAGTACTCCTTTGAGCTCCATGGCAATATGCTGCTAATGCATGCAAATGGAAGTGTTTGCCAGCTGGCTTGGCAACAGAGGAAAGACACAGAGTGTGTATAGAGACACGGTGTATTTTTTATAAGCCAGTTCATTATAAAAAAATGTGAATATGCCTTGTAAATCACATATAAGAATATGCATCTGATTTTTCTTAAAAAAGCACACGAGGAAAGAAAATCTCATTTTGAATGCATTTAGTGGTGTGCGTAAAGCTTTCTCAAAAAACATGCAATCAGCACAACATAGAGATTCACATAACAATGCAACAGATGCATTTGGCTGCAGTGCCCTAAAACAATCCTCTCTGGGGAACAGTCAGAGGGAGAATTGTGCTTGAAGATTAAACTGATGGACTGTAGCCAAACTTTTTTTCTTTATCCTTACTTTTCTTGATTTACATTTAGTATTCCTCATTTGTAAGTCACTTTGGATAAAAGCATCTGCTAAAGGAATCCAGTTTTGTAAGTGCTAAGATGCCATGTAGAGCAAGTTGAAATAACAGCATTTAACATTTTAATTGCTCCTTTTGTTGTTTCTTAATATTTTACATGGAACCATATAATATGTCTGTATGTTTTCATTTCATCTAGACTTTAAGAGGTACAAGGACACACAGGTAGAAGGACATGAATGTCAATATTTTAAATTCTTTAAAAATTTCCATTCACACTGTTATTTTGAAGAAACACAGCAATAGTAATAGTTGTAATAATAATAATATAATAATAAAAGTAATATTAATAATAAGCATGATACAATTATTATTATTGTTTTATTGGCATTATTATATTATATTATTATTACTATCATACAATAAACAAAATATTTTTATAAATAATTATATGAATAAAAATAAATTGATCTCTTTATTAATATGAGTAATTTTATTATTAGAGCATAACTTCACACTGTAGCATTATTATATTAGGAGTCACCGTGTGTGTTCACGGTGTGTGTGTGTGTGTGTGTGTGTGCACTTTGGATGGG